TCTGCACTGCTGGCTCTGGGCTGGCAGGCTTGGAGCTGGCACAGGCACTGTGGCCTGGGTCTACCCCTTTAATGGCTCTGGGGCTGGGGAGAGGAGAGTAAGTTTTCCTGGTTGTGCCCAGAGTGGCCACCAGGGCTCCCTGGGAAGGGCTGGGGCCCCCTATTTCGAATGAAGTGTCTACACAGCACTTAATTCAAAATAGCTATTTCCAATTTGGCGTTACTCGTAGAATGAGGTTCACCAAATTCGAAATAAGGGCTCCGCTATTTTGAATTAAATTTGTGCATGTAAAGTTAATCGTGGCTGTTATTGCGAAATAACTATGCAAGCGCCTACAGCAATTCCGTTCTTTCGACTTAGTCCTGCTTCTGCAACCCTCATTCTACGAAGAACAACGTCTCTTCCGAAACAGCTATTTCCAACTGAGGCGTGAGCAGACGCTCCACTGCTGCGATTTCGAAATAGCCCCTCGCCAGGGCCGTTCTAAGTGATTCCTCATTGGGCTGTAAAGCGAGGTAGCACGTCTACACTAGGGTAACCTGCCTCGGGCTAATTTGGAGGCTTCCCTGCAGTGGAGACGTGCTATTTCGGAGTAACTATTCTGGACTAGCTTCTTCTGGCGTTACTGTGCAGCGCAGACGTAGCCAAGCAAGACTGTCCATTGCCGTGTAACCCTGACGGGCCTTGGGGACTTGCCCCAAGACGTCAGAACACGTCCGTGTCAGAGCCGAGTGGGGCGAACGTTTGTCTTTCTTGCACGCGGGGCGCCGCCAGCTCCCTGCTGAATCGCCTGCCAGGAGATGCGGGTGTTCACGTGTCTGATTAGCCCTGGCAAATGGCCCTGCTGCCTGGGGGCCCAGACAATCCCGGCAGGGCGGGGCCGGAGCCGGGGCTGCAGAGCGTGGTCCTGGGGCTGCTGGGTCACCGGGCGCCGTCGCTCCTCGCGGATTTGTTCACGTGTCTGATTAGCCCTGGCAAATGGCCCTGCTGCCTGGGGGCCCAGACAATCCCGGCAGGGCGGGGCCGGAGCCGGGGCTGCAGAGCGTGGTCCTGGGGCTGCTGGGTCACCGGGCGCCGTCGCTCCTCGCGGATTCGCCCCCGCTCCATCATTTGACCCGGGTGAAAACGTTGGTGCCGACCCTGCGGGGAAGGGCAGCGCCTGGGTTAGTGCGGTGG